TGTCTGTGTGTGTGTGTGTGTCAATCTGTGGGCTTTTGCACCTCTTGTTTCGTGATTGAGTTGTCGCTTGTAGTGACTCAGATCAACGATTGATTTTACTGGTTGTGGTGTTTGTGCTATACGTTCTCCCCCAGCTTACTTGAGTTCGCTTCTTACTCCCACATTGTTGGACATGTTATCCGATGGTCGTTCGTGTGGCGGCAACACCTACAGACTGAGTCAGACTGCCACTCGCCGTTTTTGCAAAAGTGGCAGGTGGCCTTGTGTCTAGATGATGCAAGAACATCTCTTGACCCTTCCCTCTGTCTCTTATCTCGCCCCTGACGGCCCATCTGATTCTCTCCAATCACAAGTCCTGAATGCCTGCATCGCTCCCTCATGCATGGTCTACATCTTCGGAGATTAGGTTGGAAAGCTTGGGTGTCAGGAAACGCTCCAGCAGAAAATTCATCAAGCTGCCGAGGCTGGGGCTGCACCGCTGCTCGTTAGCTGATATTTCTTGCAAATTCACCAGGAGCTGGTGAAGTAGCTAGAACCCTGCAGCACCATGTCTTGCATGCCTCAGTCTGGTTCCTCTCATGCTTCGCATTTTGCCGCCATATCATCTTCGTGGATACTTTCTGAGGTTTGGCTAAGCGGCTAAACTAAGCAGCCCAGCGACCAGGTGCCTAACACAGTTCCAAAGTTGGCACGTGGGAGCCCGGTGAACTCAGGCGGGCCCTTCTGCACACACACACACACACACACACACGCATACCCAATTTCACGTAAAATGCATGTTGAGTCCTTCGCCCTTTCGCAGTCTGCGTGGATGACCACATGGCCGAAATCTCGAAAGGGTCTGCCGCAGGCTTCGTGATACCGCCTGGTGTCAACGTCCGCCCGACTGTTCTTGCGGCACAGGCGCGCAATCCTGAATGTCATGAGACATTCCGCTGCCGAGTCCTTTATTATGGACTTGGCAACTTATATAGGTGTGCAAGTTGGAACGATGAGCAAGAGAAGATATGATGCAGCTTGAGTTTAGCAGTCATTGGCAAGCTCCAAGTTCGATCCTGTGCTTTCGAGGCTCCACAGCTGCACCGGCCACCAGCCGTTCGCCCTCAGTCTCCGTCCCTGGGCTTTCATGCCGTTTCGCAAGTGCAGCTGAAGCCTGGTTCGTGAAGTTCAAGAGAGCGCCATACCCAACATTCCAGCGGAGCCGGACTCCGTTCTTGCTGTGGGGCCTTTCCTTGACGGTGTTGTTGCAGTCCGAGGAACGGCAGCAAATGACAGCGCCTGGTGCCGGAGAAGAGTTGCAGACTGCACACGAGCTGGCCAGCTAGGAGGCCTTCCTCTTCAACGCAGGGTCCAAACTGTCGGATGAACCCTGACCGGGCTCCTGGGGCCGGGGCTTGGGCCTGGGGGCCTCGCCGAGGTTTCAAGAACTGGCTTCATTAGAAGGTGTGTTTGTATTCGTTTGTTGCAGTATGGTTGTCGCTGTCTGAGTTTTGATGTACTGTTCAACTGCTTATGCTGTCCCCGTTGCACAAGTTGGGATGCACATGACTCTCGCAAGGCCGTCTGTGGACACTGCGCATGGTGTACATCGTGTATCTTTCTGCGGCACGATCCACATTTCGATTGTAACTGTTGCAGGGATTCTTCAAGAGCCACGCTGCTCAGTTTCAGTTGAATTGACGAATGGGCGTGTATTCTCCACAAGCCAATGATTGATCGCCAGGCAGTGACGGCAGATCCAGACTGCAAGTCGCTGTGAGCCTCGCAGAATGTTGGGAATTAAGAAGGAGGCAGGGCTGCCACACGGCTGGCCACGCACCACGCACCGCATCGAGTCATAAGGGTCAAGTCGGCAGTGTTGTGGACCACAATTTCGAACTACCATGTCAAAACCCGGGTCCCGAAGTCCACCAGCAAAGGCATAAGGAAGCCATCAACGTTTGCGTGACAGCCCTGCAGTGTGCAGTCTTCAGTGGCACGTCAGCCTTTCGGAACGGTTACCCGACAAAAGAGGCTCTGGCCGATTGCGTATCATGCTTGCTCCGCCGCCACCCTCATCCTAATCAACCCAACGAGGGAGGTAGAGTACGGTCGGCGGGTTTTGCCTGTGCTGTGGCTTGCAGTCCGTTCTGTTACGCCGTTCCAGCGTATTCCAGTGTAGGGTTGGAAACCTTGAAGGTAGCCGTCACAGTTCGAAAGATGGCACAAAGGCGAGGAGGATCAGCATGTTTGACGTGATGGTAGCTCATGTAAACATGTCGACAGGGGGTAGCTTGTCCTTGCAAGAATTGGGACTGGTACAGTTACAGCTATCTCGCTCGACACCCAGTTTCCTGGTTGCCAAACATCTCGACACGTCGGTTGAATGTTGAGACTTCGCATTCCTATTCCTGGGGCCAGTATTGAGGAGGCAATGGAATCCGTTCCCAGGCTTGTAGAGAACGGGAGTGCTGCACTTCCCTTGAGTCGATAGGGTCGCGTCTACACCAAGTTAGATGCTGGCAATGTGCGTGTTCACGTAGCCCAGATGCGCAAGTTCCGGTACGATTCTGCAGTCATGACATAATCGAACATCTCCTCGTTGCTCCACCCGCCTTCTCAGCAGTTCAGACGGCGCACACAGGGCTGATTAGACCGAGTGCTCCCGGAGACTTGCCCAGAATCCAAAAAGGAAACTGCACCGCTCAAGCATCAAAGCATGCACACTGCACTTGGTGCCGTTTCAGACTGATTAAGCCTTCTCTGCAGCACACGTGTCCCGAAATGCCTTGCAATCCGTTCCCTGATATGGACCTCGCCCGAAACACACAAACGACTCAATACTCATTGGTAGTACTTGGGGGGTGTAGGCGGGTACCCTCAGCCCGTATAGTACTCTGAAATGCTTAGCCCTGAACCCCGAACCCAAGCAACTCCCTAATTCTCAAGCAGTCTAAGTATCGCGGGAAGCGAACCCAGACTGTTTATTATTGGGATGGTTTAGCAAATGTGGGCAGTGATTCATCTTAGGGGGCAGCAAGGGGCTAAGACCTTCAGGACTTGAAGGGTGTCCTCTGACAGTTTGTTGCACAGCATTCGGGGGCACTCTTGGAGTGGATTAACCTGGTCTCCCAACATGAACGAGCAGCTGTAAATTCTGTGTGCTTGTGCGCGTTTAAGTTACATTACATTTTATGTTTGTATGTACAAAGAGCTTGCACGGAAGCTCTCTCTGCAAGCCGTTTGTTAATCACAGTTGAAGCCTTTCAAGTATGCAGGCAGGAGCAGCGGACACGGTAGCTTCAGGCATGCCTGTTTGTGTGTGTGTGTGTGCGCGTGTCTCTGTGTTTGTGTGCGAGCGCTTTAGGGTTGCTCGTTTTTTCTTCGTGCGCCAAAGACTCAACATTAGGCAAGCCTCGACATTAAACATGGTTGGAGTGAAGAAATTCCAGAGGTGGCCGAGCAAGAAATTTCAAATCAAACGCCGATGTAAAACACTCAGTTGTTCAAGCCTGCAAGGGCCTAGCCCACCCCCCGGTTAATAATCCGGCCGCCGCAGAGCAATCGTGTTTTGTTATTCGTGCTTTTGTTTGACTGTTGAGGATTTAGGGTCGAGGGTTTAGGGTGCAGGCTCATGCTTTCCCCCACTGTCTGGCGATTTAATTTCCACAAACGAACGTTACGACTGCGGTTGTTGACTGTACCTGCCCGACCAAACCCCAGAGGGAGTGTTGGGTGGCAAGCCCGAAACCCGCCAAATTTATTCGGGGGGGGGTCGGATCAGGCCGCCAGCTGACCGACCTTGCGGCGAGGGGGGCGGAGGGGGGGATAATAAGCAAGAGTTCCCATTATGGATATAATATACAGCATGGATTTATGCAAATGGTTGCAAACGATTGCAAACGTACATGTACGTGTGCATGTCCGCCTGTATGTGTGTATGTACGTAGGCGTATACACCTATAGGTGCATTTGTATTTGTATATTCGTTTATATAATTACATATGTATATGTATATGCAAAGGTATATGTATGCATGTGTGTATGTATGTGTGTATGCATGCATGTGTGTATGTATGTATGTACGTATGTATGTATGTATGTATGTATGTATGTATATATGTATATAAGTATATAAATAAGTAAGTAAGTATGTATGTACGTACGTACGTATGTGTGTATGTATTCATGG